ACTGTGATTGGTCAATTTTCTACGACTTAAGACCCTACGACTGCTACGACTTCTATTGTAGACCCCGCATTAAGGCCATCACACGTACAAAAATTTTAGTCGTAATCGTAAGGTCGCAAGTAAATCGACCAATCACAATCAAAATTAAGATTTCGCTTTTAAACGCTCGACTGTAATTGGTCGATTTGCTTACGGCCTTACGACTAAAATTTTTGTACGTGTGATGGCTTTGAAGTTAACTGAGCTTGATGACAGTGGCTACGTTTACACCATGCATTTAGGCCGCGGCCTATACAATAGATGTCCTTGTTTCTCTTGTAGGTTAAACAAAGACACTTATCGTATAGGTCGCGGACTAAGCGCACGGTGTAAACGTAGTCAGTGGCCCTGAACGAGCCTTTTCTATGCTAAATTATTGAAAACTGCGATTCGACGAAAAAAAAAGACAAAAGAAGGTAGCCGATCGCGAAAAAGTTGAGCTGGGTTTCAGGCTTCAGAAAATCACTTTATAGCAGAATAGAGATCCTCTATTAGATTGGCCATCAAAAAGCGTTGTCCATTTTTTAGCCAAATCTTGCGAGTGAGAAAAAGTATGTTTTATCTCTCTCTACAGTAATGCGAGGAAGAGAAAGATGTGTTAATGGCTGCGTTCAGCAGAGGCCGGTATTCATAGTCAGATCTTAAATTTAAGACTGTCTTAAGTTCAGCCTTGAGGTATCATGAACCAATCAGAGAGCCGCATTAGCGTCTTAAGACATTACTTAATGCCTGGTTTATGCTTCGGTCTTAATCCTAAAATCCTAAAATTTAGCCAATGGAATACAGATTTCAGTTAGAACCAGTTAAAACTGGCAGCCCTATTGGCTGAATTTTAGGATTTTAGGATTAAGACCGAAGCATAAACCAGGCATAAGACGGTCTTGAAATAAGACCCGACTATGAATACCGGCCTCTGCTGAACGCAGCCATTGGTTGCGTTCAGCAGAGAAAACTAATCAGTCAGCGCTTAGTGATTAGTAATTCTTTAATCTGATTGGTTCTTGCCTTTAGTTCTTCACTGGATCTAAGTGTAGCAACCAATCATATTGAAGAATCACTAAGCGCTGATTAGTTTTCTCTGCTGAACGCAACCAATGGCTGCGTTCAGCAGACTCAACAGTTTTGCAACCGTTTTATGATTGTCTGTTGAGATAGGACCATTCTTCTAGATCTAAAAGTA